ATACAGTACTGCATTGTCAGTGAAGGCAAACATGGGTATATGGGTGGATAGATGGGTGGACAGGATGAACGATCAGGTATGTCTATGAAACGGGGAATGTATCCAAGAATATGTACAGGGTTGGCAGACAATGGTCTTGTAACTTTATGTGAATGATCAGAATTCCCAGGTGTATAGTAGAGCTGACAAGGGGCAACGTTGTGGTCAATGCTTAGTCACAGCCAGCTACCAAGAGGGACCGAGTAGTTGAACCTGCAGGCTTGGGACCATATTCGCAGGGGACATCAAGCTCAATTGGCATAACATACTATCAAAACATTGTTCTACCTCCTACTTTGGCGAGTAGCGACTGGGATCTTAAAAGCTAGCAAGCTGCCATCTAGGTGCAACGATGGGTCTCTCCTCGTCCAGAGCAAAGAAAAATGAAGAAAACCAAAATTCATGGAAACAATTAGTCCTAGCGACTGGTACACCATCTGATCTGCAGCCTATACGACTATGAGGCCAGAAGAACTAGATGGTGCCCAGCTACCACTGTCATCCACTTGGAAGGGGATCTATGTAGGAATTCCTTGATAGAGAGGGAGAACAATGTGGAACAAAACTCAAAATCATTTGAATAAAAAAAAAGGGGGGGGGAACCAGGTTTGCTGGTCAGATAGAGCCTGGTGGAACCACTGAGACTATGACCCCTAACTGCCCTTCAGGTCTGGAACTGAACCCACACCTGTGGTTTCCAGCCAAACAAAAGACAGGCATTATGAGTTGAACATTTACCTGAGGTTGATACACTCCTTAGAGAGAACAATCATGTGAGAAAGAAGGGCTGCTTATGCACAGGGAGACAACTCAGGGGGCAGAAGAGTATGGAGGGATGGACACAGGGAAGAGGTAACTATGGGGAGGAAGTGGGAAGGGAGCTGTTGTAATGTGGTAAACTATGGTCAATGTCATGAGACAAAGTGTATGTGAACCGCTGTATGGAAAGTGAATTCACTCTGTAAATCTTCACCCAAATCAAAATTTAAAAAAAAAAGAAAAAAAAGGATAGATTAAAAAAGATAGGAACTTATACTGTGTTTGAGCCAATATGTATTTTGAAAGTTTATTTACTACAGTTAAATGTAATGCTCTCATGAATATAAAATCGCAGGTTGTGCTAAATATTTGTTAAATATATGTTTGTTGAATTAATGGTGAACAAATATCAAACATGTGGACAGTACTTACTGGCATAGTGGGGTACATTTGGAGCTGTATGAAAAAGTTTGTGGATTCCATGTCCACAGTAGCTTCGAACAACTGAAAACCCATTTGCTTGTGCATGCTTCTGAATAATGTTTCCCAATTCTCTGTATCGAACACCAGGTTTCACTAAAGGAAAAGAGAAAAGTCATGATAAAGAGGAATTATGACTAACATTTACTAGCTGATCACTATCCATGTGCCAGGACCCTTTCTAAATGCTTTATATGCGTAAGTGCCTTTACATATAGATGAGGAAACCAAGGCACCAAGAGGTCACACAGCCAGTAAACATCAAAGCTGAGACTCAAACAAGGAGGCCCTATAATTCCTCCTTTGATGTTGTAAAGAGGGAAGTGTTCAAAGTGTTAAGGGACTGGGGAGAGGCCCCTTTTGCTTTCTCTAGGAGTGAAGAACAAATGATGCACAGTTCTCTACCTGTACTTTCCTAGAGTAGAAGCAAGCATTCTTCTACTCTAACCTTAAAATGAAGAGACGAGAGTAAAGAGCACAAGGAGGAAAATGAATATCCAAAAAGTACCTTGACCTGTTCTGACTTACAGTCTTGTCAACTTCAGAAAGAATTACTTCAATTCCTCCAGCCTTCCTTATGTCTATAAAAATGATTCTCTCTGGGCAAAAACGGAGTATACCCATAACCATATATAACTTTGGCAGATGATATTTCTATATACATACTTGTATGTACTATAAGAAAGTCCATACATAATAGAGCTAATAGGGCACCCACCACTTGTCTGTCAGTTGGTCGTATTGTGATGGCTTGTGTGTTGCTGTGAGGCTGGAGGCTATGCCACTGGTATTTCATATAACAAGCATAGTCACCTACTGGGAAGTCAGATGGGGCTATCCACTTCTGAAAAAAACTGACTGCTAAAATCCTTATGAACAGCAGTGAAATATTTATGAATAGCCCTGAAACTTTGATATAGTGCTGGAAGATGAGCTGCTCAAGTTGGAAGGTATTCAAAATACAACTGGGGAAGAGCTGCCTCCTCAAAGTAGAGCCGACTCTAACCACGTGGATGGAGTAAAGCTTTTGGGACCTCCATCTGCTAATGGGGCATGACTCGAAATGGAAAGAAACAGCTGCAAACATCCATTAATAATTGGAATGTGGAATGTATGAAGTATGAATCTAGGAAAATTAGAAATTGTCAAAAATGAAATGGAATGCATAAAGATCGATATACCAGGCATTAGTGAGCTGAAATGGACTACTGCTTTAGGCCATTTTGAAACAGACAACCATATGAGCTACTGTGACAGGAATAATAAATTGAAGAGGAATGGTATGGCATTCATTGTCACAAAGAACGTTTCAAAATCTATTGTACAAGGCTGTCAGTGATAGGAAAATAGTCATATGCCTACAAGCAAGATCATACTATTATCATTCAAATTTATATATCAAACATTAAAGCCAAAGATGAAGGAACTGAATAGTTTTACCAGCTTCTGCAGTATGAAATTGACCAAACATGCAATTGAGATGTAGTGATTATTACTGGTGATTAGAAGGTGAAAGCTGGAAACGAAGAAGAATCATCAGTAGTTGGAACATATGGCTTTGGTGATAAAAATTATGCCAGAGATAACATAATACAATTTTGTAAGACCAATGAATGACTTATTCATTACAAATGCCTTTTTTCAACAACGTAAACAGTGGCTACACAACACTTGGATCTCGCCAGACAGAATACACAGGAATCAGACTGACTACCTCTGTGGAAAGAGGAGATGGAGAAGCTCAATTATCTTCAGCCAAAACAAGGCCAGGAGCTGGCTGTAGAAAAGACCATATGCAAGTAAAGCTGATATTGAAGAAAATGAAAACAAGTCCATGAGCACCAATACATCTCACCTCAATTTAGAGACCATCTGAAAAATAGATTTGATGCACTGAACACCAGTGACCAAAAACTATACGAATTTTGGGATAGCAAAAGGTCATTAAAAATATAGGAAATGATGAAAAGACCAAAACGGATCTGAGAAGAGACTGTGAAAACTGCTCTTGAATGGAGAGTAGCTAAAGCAAATGAAGGAAGTGACAAGATAAAAGAACTGAACAGAAGATTTCAAAGAGCAGCTCAAGAAGACAAAATCAATTAATTCAAGGAAATGTGCAAAGACCTGGAGACAGAAAACCAAAAGGGAAGAACATGCTTGGCATTTCTCAAGCTGGAAGAACTGAATTAAAAATTCAAGCCTCAAGTTGTAATACTAAAAATTATATGGGCAAAATACTGAATGTTGCAGAAAGCATCAAAAGCAGATGGAAGTAATACACAGAGTCACTGTAGAAAAAAGAATTGGTTAATATTCGACTATTTCAGGGGGTAGGATAGGATCAAGAACCACTGGTATTTAAAGGAAGAAGACCAAGCTGTGCAAGTAGCAACTGGGATCTTAAAAGCTTGCAAGGGGCCACCTAGATGCAACAATGGGTCTCCCCTCCTCCAGAGCAAAGAAGAATGAAGAAAACCAAAGACACATGGAAACAATTAGTCCAAGAGACTGGTACACCATGCAATCCTCATCCTATATGACTATGAGACCAGAAGAACTAGATGGTGCCTGGCTATCACTGTCAACCACTCAGAGGGGGATCTATGTGGAGATCCTGGATAGAGTAAGAGAACAATGTGGAACAAAACTCAAATTCAAAAAAAAAAGGACCAGGTTTGCTGGTTTGATAAGAGCCAGGCTGAACTCCTGAGACTATGGCCCCTAGGCTGCCCTTCAGGTCTGGAATTGAACCCATGCCTGTGCCTTCCAGCCTAACAAAAGACAGGCTTATGAGCTGAACACTTATATTAGGCAGATACACTCCTTGGAGAGATCAATCATGGGAAAACAGAAGGGCTGTGTATGCACAGGGAGGAAACAGGGAAGAGGGACAACAGAGAGGAAGTGGGAGGAGAGCTGTTGCAGTGTAGGAGATGGCAGTCAATGTCACGAGATAAAGCATATGTGAACTATTGTATGGAAGATGAATGTGCTCTGTAAACTTTCACCCAAATCACAATAAAATTTTTAAAAAAAGTAGTAGTAGTAGTCCAAGCTGCACTGAAGGAATTGGTGAAAAACAAGGATCCAGGAATTGGTGGAATGCCCATGAGATATTTCAACAAACAGATGCCACACTGGAGGCACTTACTCTCCTATGCCAGGGAATCTGGAAGACAGCTACTAGGCCAACTGACTATAAGATATCAATATTCATGCCCATTCCAAAGAAAGATGATCCAACAGAATATAGAAATTATTGAACAATATCATTAATATCACATGTAAGTAAAATTGTGTTGAATTTAAAAAGGATTGCAGCAGTATATTGACAGGGAACTTCCAGAAATGCTAGCTGGATTCAGATGAGGACATGGAACAAGGGACTTCATTGCTGATGTCAAATGGATCTTGGCTAAAATGTTTATTTGTGTTTTATTGACTATGCAAAAACATTTGTATGGATCATAACAAATGGTGAATAACACTGAGAAGAATGCGAATTCCAGAACACTTAATTGTGCTCATGAGGAACCTGTACATAGATAATGAGGCTGTCGTGTGAATAAAGGGAAACTAACCAAAAACCAAACCAAACTCACTGCTGTAGAGTCAGAACTGACTCACAGCGACCCTTCCTTGGGTTTCCAAGGCAGTATCAGTACGGAAGTAGATCGCCCAACCTTCCTTCTGAGGAGTGGCTGGTGGGTTTGAATTGCCAGCCTCCTGGTTAGCAGTCACATGCCTTAGGCATTACGCCACCAGAGCTCCTAAGGGGACACTGCATGGTTTAAAATCAGAGAGGGAGTGAGTCAGGGTTGTATGCTTTCACCATACTTACTCAATCTGTAAACTAGGTAAATCATCTAAGAAGCTGGACTTTATGAAGAAAAAAGTAGCATCAAGATTGAAGGAAGACTCATTAACAACCTGTGATATACGTATGATACAACCCCACCTGCTCAAAGTAAAGAAGACTTTCAAGTACTTACTGATGAAGATTAAAAACTACAGTCTGTAGTATGGACTACACCTCAACATAGAGAACAAAAATCCTCTGAATTGGACCAATCAGCAGCATCGCAGTAAATGGAGAGAAATTTTGTCAAAGATTTCATATTACTTGGTTCCATAATCAACACCCAGGGAAGCAGCAGTCAAGATATCAGACATCCTATTGCAATGGGGAAATCTGCTGCAAAAAACCTCTTTAAAGTGCTGAAGAGCAAAGCTTTCACTTTGAAGACCAAGTTGCGCCTAACCCAAGCCATGGTGTTTTCAATCACCTCATATGCATGTGAGAGCTGGAATGGAATGAATAAGGAAGACCGAAGAAGAGTTGATGCTTTTGAGTTGTGGTGTTGGCAAAGAATACTGGAAGCACCATGGACTGCCAGAAGAACAAACAAATCTGTCCTGGAAGAGAATGCTCCTTGGAAGCAAGAATGATCAGACTTCGTCTCACCTACTTTGGTCTTATTGTCAGACAGGACCATTTCCTGGAGAAGGGTATCACTGCTTGGTAAAGTGGAGGGTCAGCAAAAAAGGAGAAGACCCTCAACGAGATGAATTGACAAAGTAGTTGCAATGATAGGCTCAAGCATAGCAAGGATCTGTGAGGATGGCACATGACCGGACAGTGTTTCATTTGTTATACATAGGGTGGCTATGAGTCGGAGCCAACCTGACAGCACCTAAAAACAGCAATGACCACCATGGGGCAAAGTGATGATAACTTCTTAGCTACCACGCAGTACATTGAGGGAGTAAGGCACTGGGCTCACAGATCAGGACCGTGGTTGCAGGGGATATAAAGCTCAACTGACACAAACTACTATACAAAAACATAGTTCTACATCTTACTTTGGTGAGTAGCAACAGGATTCTTAAAAGCTTGCAAATGGCCATCTAAGATGAAATGATTGGACATTCCCTGTCTGGAACAAAGAAGAATGAAGAAAATCAAAGACACATGGAAACAACTAGTCCAAGGAACTAGTAGACCATGCGTTCCTCAGCCTACAAGACCCAGAGATCGAAAGAATGATATGGTACCTGACTACCACTGTCAACCACTCAGAAAGGGATCAAAACAAGAGACCGTAGATAGAGTGGGAGAAAAATGTGGAACAAAACTCAAAATCATAAAAAAGACCAAGCTTACTAGTCTGATAGAGACTGGTTGAACCCCTGAGACCATGGCCCCTATTCACCTACTCACCTTTCTGGGCCTGGAATTGAACTCACTCCTGTGGCTTCCAGTTACATAATAGTAGACAGTATAAGGTGAACATTTACATCAGGTAGGTGCGTTCCTTAGAACAATCAATCATGGGAGATCAGAACAATAGTATTTGCACAGGGAGACAGCTCAGAGGGCAGGAATACATAGAAAATAAGGACATAGGGAAAAGGTAACCAAAAGGAGGAAGTGGGAAGAGAGCTGTCGCATTGTGGGGGTTGCAATCGATGTTATGAAACAAAATGTGTATGAACTGTTGTTTGGAAAATGACTTTGCTCTGTAAACTTTTACCCAAATCACAATTTTTTTATAACAAGTGGTTCTCAAACTATTCACAGTTGTTTCCTCTGCAGATGGACCAGGGGGACAGGATATGGAAATACTCTTCCCTAAAAATTTCCTGGTCCTGTTTAAATTTTTGACTTTTACCACTGTCTCAATAAAAGCTAAAATAAAATAAGGATTCTCATTGCTGTTATGCTCTCTCCTAGCACTGAGACTCTAGAAGCTGGGAGCTTCCAGACTCTTGGGAGTCCAGCCATGGTTCTGTGGGTTCACCAGCTCCTAGAGTCTCTTAACCAAGAAAAACCAAACTCACTGCCATTGAGTTCATTCCGACTCATAGCAACCCCCTTGGGTACAATGTACAGTTCAGGTACAATGTTCTCTCTTTTCCAAATTTCTATGCCACTAGTTCAAGGAATCATTTAAGCTAACAGTTTTACCTGCTCTTAACCGTATGTTCTAGCTTTATTTATTTATTTATTTAGGGTCACAACTCAACTCAACTCACTGCCATTGAGCCAACTCGACTTATAGAAACCCTTCCTTGGAAAATGGGTCTGAGGCAGTATCTCTACGGAAGTAGTTTGCCCAATCTTCCCAAATGGGTATGATTTTGGCCTCAGGAGGACACTTGCTAGTATCTGGAGATACTTTACATTCTCAAATGGCATACAGTGGGAAGACATTGGGTACACTATTAAACAGGCTACAAAGCACAAGACAGGCAATGGCAAAGAATTAACAGGACAAACATGCCATTCATTTGGAGGCTGGGAAACCCTATTCTAGAGGGTTCATTTCAACTTTAAGTTCTCTAGTGCTCTGTACCAAGGTGGGCAGCCAAATTAGTAGAAAATAGGTGAAAGAATGACTTGTACATAAGTGTTAACAACAGTCTGAGGACCACAAAACTTTTGTTCTTCCCTGGCTACCCTTAAGAAGACTTTGGTTTTTGGTAGTTTCTTGGCAAGTTTTATTCCTGTGTCTTTGTAAAACAATATTCTAGCTGCTTGACTATTTCAATCAATTCACAGAGAAGCAAAAAGAAGATATAAGCATTGAACATATTATCTGGCAAAAAACCCTAAAAATTATTTTAAAACTGAAGCTTCCAAAAAATTAAACTTCTCATCTCATATTACTACCAACAATAGTAGCATTTTAAATAATCAAGAGTGAAAAATAATTAGAGAAAAATCTCACTTATATATACCTGAAAATATCCCTTTTTTTTCATTTTCTATTCCTCTAACTTTACTAAATTAGCAATAATTTCATCATCTCGTATGCATGTTAAAAAATTATATAAAAGCTACAAAAATAAAGGATTATCAATGTTATCACAGGTAACAGATGTGTTTGCCTCAGAATGCTTTCTGGTCAATACTTTTTTGATAATGCACTGTTTGTTTGGTTTTCTATGGAACGGATAGATAATACATTGGACAGTAAAGTCCAAATGCCATGGAATTCAACTGAAAAGTTGTCTGTCCCTAAACTGTCTTTTAAGTAACTGTTAACATTTGCAACAAGCCTTTCCTTTCCTTCTCTCATTCCTACAAGGAGTAACATAAGCAAAACAGCCTGGATGTTTACATGATCATAGACAGCCAGCCTGAGAAAAAGTCTACAGAAATATTCTCACCTCTATTAAAAGGTATTATTCACTACAATAGCAATAACAACAAAACCCAGCAGATATATATATATATATATATATATATAAAAAAAACCAAGCTCACTGCCACAGAGTCAATTCTGACTCATAGCGACCCCCATCAGGTTTCTGAGGTTGTAAATATTTACAGAAGTAGATTGTCCCATCTTCCTTCCATGGAGCAACTAAGGAGTTTGAACTGTTGGCCTAATGGTTAGCAGCCAAATGTCTTATCCACTACCCACCAGAGCTCCTTAGTAGGTAAATTGTTATAGAAAATTTGATACTATGGAATATAACATATAAACTTAAAAGAATGAGGTAGATCTCTATTAAAAAAAAAAAAACCTCACTGCCTTTGAGTCAGATCCGACTCGTAGCAACCCCTCCTTGGGTTTCTGAGGTGATATCACTATGAAGTAGATTGCCCAACTTTCCTTCCAAGGAGTGGCTGGTGGGTTTGAACTGCCAGCCTTCTGGTTAGCAGTCAAATGCTGTAGGCACTACGCCACCAGAGCTCCCTAGATCTATATATACAGATATATTAATTTGGAAAGCTCTCTAAGATATTCTTAGTTGAAAAACTACCAAATTACAGAATGTTACAAATATTATGATGCCATTTACATGCAATTGAACACATATGGTGTGCGCGCACATATGTGTGTGGATGAATAGAGGGGAAAAAACCTAAATGTTAACAGTAGATATCTGTGGCAAGAAGAGAAACAGAAAAGAGGGAGGCAAGTGAAGGAAGATCAGTCTTTTTTCTCTTTTACCTTCAGTCTTCTTCTAATTTCTTTAGAATTAGAATATAATACTTAAGTAGTTGAAACATTAAAAACGCAGAAATAAAAGTAGAACTCAAGAACTATACATACTCTTCTTCCCATTTTATCAGTTACAGAAAAGGAAGATAAATCACAGAAGAACCAAAGTATGCTATGGGATCATCTGGTCCATCCTTACGAAGGCATTCCCAAATCATCCTTAAACACATTATAGCTAAAATCTTACACTAACTCAGATAGGACAGAGACGAAGCTGGGAGTACAAGGAATGTACACTGCAATGCTGAGCCATCTGCTGTCCATCAAGGTAGGGCAATTCCAGTCGGTACCTAGCAGTGAGGCTGACCTGCGTCGATGGCTTGCATGAGGCACTCATACGTGGTCTGGACTAGCTTCCGTGCTCCCTCGTCCACATCTCCAACAAAAAATGTCTCATTCAGGTCCCCGTGATAACCGTTGCGATAAAGAGTGATGTCCACTGAAAAAGAATGTGCAAATATAAAAAATCACATTTGCTTTTATTTTAGACTTTCAACATGACAGCAGCAAGAACTGTAATGAAAAAGATAAAAACCGATTTCTCACATTAGACAGCAACAGATGTGTAGTTATTATCTAACAGAAATGCTTTGCCTTTGATATAACTAAACTCACTCTGTAGAACAGTGATATGGACACAGCACAAGGCAGATGGTTAGGTCTTTATACTCTCATAGTATTAATTAGATCATATAGGACAGAAGAATAAATGCACCCAGGATATAACAATACAAGATCAAGAGTTCACTACATTTTGACATTAAATACAAAGCCTGCTTTTACTTATGTATCTTTAACAACAGATTCTTCCACCTCCTAAGGAATAAGTAAATAGGGATATACTGTTCTATACTCTTCACAAAAAAAAAGAAAAAAGAAGCCTCATTTGTTTCTTACTTATTTGTAATTACATATCCTTTTTCCCCATGTTTAACAATACAGATTACTAGTATACCCCTACAATACACTACACACACACACACATAGAAAGAGAGCATACGCAATGCGTATTTTGGAAACACACATTTCAATCAACCTGCAATATCATAGTACAGGTGTTTTAGCTCCAGCATCACACATATGTTCCTGAAAAGCCTTACATACTCAGCATATGCTAAGAACAACAGGATTTATCTTTGTCTGAAAAAACAGGTTAGTCAAGACCCCTAAAAATCTATGAAACTTAATAAACAGTCACCCTAACTAAAGCAGTAACAACTCTAATAAAAACAGTGTCACAGTTAAATCTCCACTATCATTCACAGCCAGCATCTTAAGTCAGTCCATTCTCCACAGCCTTTAACATTTGAAATAGTGCTTCCTAATTTAATATGTAGGTCCTTAAAGATATCTGATTAGTAAAGTGACTAATTTCATTACTCTTAAAACAGATCACTTAGGGATTCTGGGAAGATGGTGATGTAAACATACCATCGTTTTGACTGTCCCCCACAAACACAAGGAAATGGTGCTCAGTTTTTAGGGACTTTGAATCAGGGATCAGAGGCAAGCAGTAGAGAAACAAACACAGGCAAGAATCAACAAATCAACAAGTTACATACGGTAGGAAAATCATACCTCCCAGCACTTCCCCTCAGCCATGTGGATCAGTTGCTGTGAACTGGGGAAGTGGCCTCAGGAAAGGAGACAGGACCTCAAACTTCTGCTCTAAACTAAACAAGGCAGACTTCCCTGCGGTTCTGTTTGGAGTGTGCCAGCACCACCCCCAGCACCACTCAGACACTTTCGGCTGCAAACCTACTTGGATTGCTACAGAAGGCACATGCAGTGGAGTCTAATCTCATAGTGAACACTCTACCTGCCTCCCTGTATACCCCATAGCTCATGCCTGTGTGCTCCTCCTTTCAGTCAGTGCTTAGGACTGCTGACTGAGGCTGCTGTGTACTAGGAAGCAAATGGAGGCTACACCCAAAGCAAATATACTGCAGGGGATCTGATAGCAACAAGGCAGACCTCCCAGGGGCTCCATTTGGAGTAATAGCCTACTCCCCTACTCAGCACTGTCATCTGTATACTGGCTGTGAAATGCTACAGAAGGCTCCGGCAGTGGAGTTTGCTCCCACAGTCAACACTCTACCATCTCCCATGCACACCTTATAATTCTGGTTTCTGAAACCAATAGGCTAAATCTCCCTGGGGGTCAATTAGGGTTTATCTGCCCCCACTTTTGGCTGGTGCTGAGGACTGTGAACTGAAGTTGTGTATGCTAGGAAGGAGTCTTGAGTGAAAGCTGCATTTACACAACAAACTACCAGAACGCTGACAACAATAAGGCAGATCTCCATGGAGATGTGACCAGAATGATACATCCTCACCCCCATCTTGTAACTGTTGGCTGCCAGGCTGTTGCAAACTACTACAGAAAGCCAGGAAAGTAGAGTCTACTCCCATAGTCAGCACTACATCTGCCTCCCTGGGCAACATACAGCACATGCCTTTGAAATAAAACCAGACAGACCTCCCTGAGCATCTGTCTGGGTCTGTCTACTCCCCCCTCAAGTTGGCACTGAGGACTGCTGACTGAGGCTGCTGTGTGTGCTGAGAAGCAGGTATATTTAGTGGAGGCCATACTCATGGCCAACATCCTACAGGCGGGGCTCTGACAACAACAAGGCAGACCCCCCTGTCTGTTTGAAATGTAACAACCCTTAACCCCAACCAGTAACTGTCATCTGCTGGAAGTGATAGAAACTTCTACAGAAAGCTACCTACAAGAGAGTCAGGTGGTAGGTCAACCCACCACCACAGATCTCAAGAAGGTCCTTCTGGGAAGTGCCAGCTCCTCCTGCTCCTGAACTGGAGGAAAGTCTGCCAATATTTCCCCTGAATGTCAGCTCAAATATAAGCATTCTCCACAGAGCAAGCATCAGGCAAAACCTGAAGGCAACACCCAGCTGCAAAGGAGGTTTGCTAGGTGTAGTTTTTCCATTAAAAACATGGTTACAGAAACAGAGAGGGGAGTAAAAATCAAAGAGAAAGGACAGATTAATTAGTCCATAATATCTCGCCTAAGTGGTTGTGCCTGATGGTGAACATACTGACCAGTGTGTTCTTTGGTGTATTTGGGAGAGACTGAAAGTGGAAAATTGAGAATTGTAACTTTTGAATCTTAACTAAACCAAGAGGAAGGAGAGGAAGGAGCTAACACAAAGAGGAAGAGGAAACACTAGCAAAGGCTGAATGTTCTGCTCACCAGAGTGCTTTGCAGAAAAGTAGTGCAGGCAAAGACACCAATAATGGTGAAAAGTAGACACGTTTGAAAATTCCAATGCCCCAACCAAAAAAAATCTCAAGATACTCAAACAACACAGAAATAATTGTCCATTCAAATGAATATGGTAAAAAGGAGAGAGAATGAAATTAGGGATGATGAAATAATGGGGAAAAACAAAGGTAGACTTATAATACAAAAAAATTAAACGTAATTAAGGAACTAAGGGAAAACAAAGACAAAGAGCTAAGTAAGAAAAAAAATGCACAAACAAAATAAGATCTAAAATAATAGGTACTGCAACTAAAAGGGATAGTAACTGAAACTAGAAACACAACAGAAGGACTTATGAACAGACTGATCAGGCAGAAGAAAGAATAAGCAGATCAGAAAATAAGGTAGCTAAAATTACAGATGCTGAAGAGCAAAAAGTATGGAGGCTCAAGAAGGATGAGCACAGTTTAATGGAATAATGGAACAATAAAAAGAGAGCTAATACATGCAACATGGGAATTCTAGAAGGAGAAGAAAGGGACAGAAGAATACTTGAAGAAATAATGACCAAAAAATTTCTCCAATCTAACAAAAGACATGAATCTACAAATCCAAGAAGGTCAAAGAGCCCCAAGCAGGATAAACCCTAAGAGATCTACACCAAGACACATCAGAGCTAGGCTCTAAAAAAGTAAAGATAAAGAGAGGATCCTGAAAGCACTGAGAGAAGCACACACACACACACACACACAGTATTTCCAATTAGATAAGGTACAGATTTTTTCTCATAAACATTGAGATGCCAGAAGATAATGGAATGAAATATAGTGGTGAAAGAAAAAAAAAACTGTGTACCAAGAATTATATCCAGTGAAGCTATGCTTCAAGAATAAGAGTGAAATTGAAACACTCCCAGACAAACAGAAGCTGAGAGAATACATATCCACCAGAACAGCCCTATAAAAAATACTGATGAGAGCATTCTGTAGAGTCAAGGGAAAAGATACTAGAGTGCAATTCAAAGCTATTCATGAAAGGCAAGATCTTTAATAAAGGGAAATGGGTTGGTAAGTGTAAGAGTAATAAGGATTGAAGAACAGACGAGCTGTAGGATGACATCAAGAACAGCATCCGTGGAGAAAGCAAAAGGTCATTAAAGAGAAAGGAAAGGAAGAAAAGGTCAAAATAGATGTCAGAAGAGACTCTGAAACTTGCTCTGGAATGGAGAGTAGCTAAAACAAATGGAAGAAATTTTGAAATACAAGAGCTAAACAAGAGTTAAACCAGGGCAGCTCAAGAATACAAAGTATTATAATGAATTGTGCAAAGACCTGAAGTTAAAAAAACAAAAGGGAAGAGGATGCTCAGCATTTCTCAAGCTGAAAGAACTGAAGAAAAAATTAAAGTCTCAAGTTGCAATACTGAAGAATTCTAAGGGCAAAATACTGAATGATGCATAGAGCATCAAAAGAAGATGGAAGGAATACACAGAACCCCTGTCCCAAAAGAACTGGTTGATGTTCAACTACTTCAGGAGGTAGAATATGATCAAGGACCAATAGCACTGAAGGAACTGGTGAAAAACAGGGCTCCAGGAACTGAAGGAATACTCACTGAGATGTTTCAACAAACAGATTCAGCATTGCAAGTGCTTACTCGTGTATGCCAAGAAATCTGGAAGATAGCTACCTGGCCAACAGACTGGAAGAGATCAATACTGGTACCCATTCCAAAGAAAGGTGATCCAGCAGAATGTGGAAATTATCGAACAGTATCATTAATATCATACAAAGTAACGTTTTGTTGAAGATAATTCAAAAACAGTTGCAGTAGTATACTGACAGCGAACGTCCAGAAACACAAGCTGGATTCAGAAGAGAATGTGAAACAAGGGATATCATTGCTGATGTCAGATGGATCTTGGCTGAAGCAAAAAATACCGGAAAGATGTTTACTGTGGACTGGACTTACTATCAGACTGTGTGGATCATAACAGATTATGTATATCATTTTGAAGAACAGGAATTCCAGAACACTTAATTGTGCTCATGAAGAAACTGTACATAGACCAAGAGGCTGTCATTTGAACAGTACAAGGAGATACTGCATGGTTTAAAATCAGGAAGGGTGTACATCAAGGTTTTATCCTTTCATAATACTTATCCAATTGGTATGCTGAGCAAATAATCCAAGAGCTGGACTATATGAAGAAG